GACCTCAGGACCAATGGAATAGAATTGAAAACCCAGAAATGAACCTACAGACCTATAGCCATCTAATCTTCGATAAGGGAGCTAAAACAATAGAATGGAAGACAGACAGCCTCTTCAGTAAATGGTGCTGGCAAAACTGGTTAACTACATGTAGAAAACTAAAGCTAGATCCTTATATATCACCCTGCACCAGAATCAACTCCAAATGGATCAAAGACCTTGAACTCAAAGCAGACACTCTGAAAACATTACAGGATGGAATAGGAGAAACCCTGGGTCTCCTTGGCACAGGCCGAAATTTTCTGAATAAAGACCCGGAAACACAACAAATCAAAGAAAGGCTGGACAAATGGGATTGTATAAGGTTGCAGAGCTTCTGCAGGGCAAATGACATAGCTAGCAAGATCAATAGAAAGCCCACGGACTGGGAGAAGATCTTTACTAGCCATACAACGGACAAGGGTCTCATATCTAAAATATACTTGGAACTCAAAAAATTAAACCACCCAACAACAAATCCTCAAAGAAACAACTGCCCAATAAGTAAGTGGGCGAAAGACTTAAAGAGAAGCTTCTCTGAAGAAGAAAGAAGGATGGCCAATAGACACATGAAGAAATGTTCAACATCCCTAGCCATAAAAGAAATGCAAATCAAAACAACATTGAGATATCACCTCACTCCAGTTAGAACAGCACAAATCAAGAACTCTAACAACAACAGATGCTGGAGGGGATGTGGACAGAAAGGAACCTTACTTCATTGTTGGTGGGAATGTAAACTTGTTCAACCACTTTGGAAAGCAGTATGGAGGTTCCTCAAAATACTCCACATAGAGCTCCCCAATGACCCAGCAATCCCACTTTTGGGCATTTACCCAAATGATCACAAACAAGGCCACACTAAAGCTACCAGCACAACTATGTTTATTGCAGCATTATTTACCATAGCTAAGACATGGAACCAACCCAGATGCCCCTCAGTAGATGAATGGATCAAGAAGATGTGGTATATATACACAATGGAATTCTATGCCTCCATCAGAAAGAATGACATTTCCCCATTTGTTAGGAAATGGAAAGGCTTGGAAAAAATTATATTAAGTGAAGTAAGCCAGGCCCAAAGAAACATAGGTCCCATGGTTTCCCTTATTTGCAATATCTAGTATAGGTATGAGTCAAGCGGAAAAAGTCAAATAATGTGATGTTAGGAAAACGAAACCTCAAATATGTATTTTAATGTTTTTGTTTCTTTCATGCATGTGTTTCTAACGCATTTATAATATTATCTCTTTGTTGCTTTGTATGTCCCTCCCCCACAGTGTAACCCCCGCTTTCACTATATTTGATGTCAGTATAACATGTGGAGGAGATTGGGACAAACAAGTCGTTTAAGGATTCAGGTGGACCTGTTGCAACAATGAGAAGTACAAAATGTCATGTCAAAACCAGCTTTACAATGTCGGGGGGGGGGGGGGGGTAATGATTGGGTGGGAGGGAGGGGGGAGGCTGGGAAGGGAGGTGAAGGGTAAACAAAGGAGGAGGCTGCAATGCTTGGTAAGAAATGTATGCATTATCCTGCCCATGTAATTGTAACCCCTCTGTACAGTATGTTCTCAAATAAAATAAAATTAAATTTAAAAAAAAAAAAAAAAAAAAGAATCCCTGATCATGTAATCATCTGTTTGACTTGGTGCAAACTTAGTTTCTTTCTTCCAGAGTCTGATCCAGGAAGCTTAGACCAGAAGTCAGTGCTTTGAAAACGTAACTATGTATCTCATAGGGTAAATGGCTAATGAGTATATGAATTACACAAATAGGATAATGTTGCTCATATTGTTTTCCTTTAAAATAGAATAATTGTATATTGTTTTTTTTTTTAAATTATCCTTATAGAATTGTACAAACGGGTTTTAACTCAACTTGTCAATTTATGAGGATAATGCATCTTGATCAATATTAACCCTTCCATGATTTCTAACTTAACTTTAATCAGTACTGCTCCATCAACACATCCCTCAAGGGAACTGCCCTGGAAGTTTTGCCCAATGTGATTTTTAAGTTGCTACATTCTCAATGGATCATTGGCTAGATGAGGAGAGCATAAACACTTTTGACGTTGAATTAGAACAATTTAATGAGTAATATAAAATGATATTAATTTTGCCAAGTCCCCTCAAGATTACTGTCATCAGAGTAATAAACTGCATTCATGTATTGTTTCTAGTACTTGTAAAAACCAATTTTACAAGGAAGAAACACAGTGACAATTACATCTAATTTGTCTTTTTATTTATTGGGAGTAAAGATTCTCCTTATGTGTAATGTGTTATTTTCTGAGAAGCGCTTGCAAATAATGGCCAGAACCCTCTCTCATATGCTAATAAAACATGAAACCTATTTTTTTGTAGAGTGCAATTTTTGCTCACGGAACTCAAAAAACTTCTAAGGAAGATCCTGAAGGCAGCCCTTTCCTCATGCTTTTGATGCCATTATACTAGTTAAATTTCATTTTGCATTTTAACGTACATGGTCCCCAAGTTAAATGCAATATTTAATGACAAATCATGTCTTGACTTGCATAAATAATTTTAAATAAATTAAAGAACCTCTCACTTGCTACATGGGAATGAATTAAGAAATGCTGTAAACACGAATAGAGAATACATTAAATAAATTGCTTCGTCAAGACTTTAGTGATGTTTAGATACTATTTACTTGACAATAACACATCTTTATTATATACAATGTATATGTTATATATGAGAATGATTCTTTTTTATCTCTGGAGAGTTTAGCAAGATTGTTTCTATGGAAGTATCTCATGATTTTCTAAAAAGTTAGGAAGGGACAGAATAGGAATTCTTTGATTCTATCATGCTTGGAAGAGTGGTGTTCTTACTGTTGACTTAGAACAAATTTTGATAAAAGATCAATATAAGATAATCTGCAGAAAAATAGTCCATTCAGTTCTGTTAGCTTCAACAAGGATTAACAAAAGAACAGTTAATAGATATTGTTGCTACAGAAGACAAAATACATCACAAAGCATCAGTAGGACAGTGGATAAGAGCCAATTCTGTGCCAGGAACAATATTAGAAAAGGGATAGTTGTCACTTCCTCTCACACAATAATTCTATGACATAGACACTTATTCACGGATGAAGACATTAAAGATGGCAAATCATCAACTGTCCACCAGTACCAAACTAAGAAATAGTGAGGCAGATGTGAAACCAATTGGATTGAAGAGTCTGGAATCTTCACCATGGTGCCAACACACATGTGTAACGAGATAGCAGGGGTAAATCTCATGTCAAAAAGTCAAGGGTGACACACATAGATAAACATCAAAGCATCTGCAAGGATACAGGGTAAAGTGTACAGACTGAGTGCTTGGAAATTGATAAAAGTGACTTTGTGTCAATCTTTGCAAAACTTTGTAAGCAAAAATTGGGAACTTTATAGCAGGCAAGGACAATCAGAAATTAAGAGAGGAGGGAAGGAGCACACTAGAGGCAAACGAACAGGAGTATGTAATTTACGATGATTTAAAGTAGAGTGCCTGCGCATCTCAGAGAAGTGAGGAAAAAGTACAAGGGAAGTGAGCCTGAGATGGAAGAGATTGAAGGGACCCAGGTTCAAATTCCTCATGCAGCTTTGCTTCTTTTCTTTTTGGACAGAGCCCAGCAGATACCTGTTTTAGCTTGAATTAGGGCCAAATGTTCTAGCTGGCCTGAACAAAGCCATCCAGGAATGAATTTATTATGTAAAGAATAATGCAAACATATTCCCTCTCTTGGCTGACCGCTACTTTAAAGTTATAAAATATTAGTGAACTAAAATTAATTAACTAAATAACTACAGGAGCAGTATTTTCCCCTGGGCTCTCACATCACAAGCACAAGCTTATGAAGTGATTGGTTCTCTCTGCCTTAGAAGGCCCCACACAGCATCTAGGGGAGGCCTCCCAAATCACTAGTATCGTGAAGGTGAAATGCATATTTTACAAGGAAGATTTCATTTCCCAGGAAACATAAATGTCTCTGCAAATAGCAATTCACTCCAATTCTTAATCCCTAAACTATCAACATCTGCTATGAAGAATTCCTTGAGTCCACATATAAATCCCTCTTGTCCCGTATTCTTTATGGCACTCTCAAAAGATGATATTTGAATAAAACAACAATAACCATCTTTGCCCTCCTCCTTTTCTGTTCCTTCTTCAGGGGCCTTTCTACTCCTGAGCATGCTTGGGAGGTTTATGGGGGATCTGTGGAGGTGGGAAAATTGGAAATAGTACAACGACAACATTTTACAGGAGGACAAGTCAGTGCATTTATAAATCTGGTTTGGATTATAAAAACACTGATGCTGAAATATGATAAAGAAACCTTGGACTCTCTGGAAAAGCAATTTTCCTCCTTTCTTCTTCATTATTTTTCAAGTGTGTATTTCTTTTTTTTTCTCCCCCTAACCCTCCTTGGGTCAAATAAATGCGGTTTTAAAACCCATTTCCATGTTTTAAGATTCAGAGAGAAGAACTGTAACAGTAGGCTATAGAACTTCTTTAATGCCTTATTTTTGCAGATTTGCTAGAAAGTACAGTAAACAGTCATTCATCACCTTTTCCCCTCAGTGCCCCCACTCCTGAGTCTCCCTGAACTTTGTCAATGATGGGAGCAGCAAAATCCATTTGTGTGGGTTTCTTGTTCCCAGGAACATCTTTGCCTGGCATTGTTGAGACACCTGCATTCTGACAATCTAGGCAGAATCTCTTAGCCAAACTGATTTGCTGATTGTCCTCCAGAGGAAATTATCAAACATTTAAAATACAGTTTTGAAAAAGTAAATGTGGTAGAAATAGGAGAGTTCTGATGGTTTCTTGCTGCCCTCTGCTCTACATTCTGCAGAGGCACATGGAGTTTCCAAAGTCCCTCTTCAGCATTATTTAACTCTTGTACATGCAGCTTCAAGATAAGATCACCCGGAGTGTACTTACAGGCGATGCGCACTGAGGCCTTCCTGCTTTTGGAGGTTCCCAGGTGGCTCCATGCTACACACTGGCACCAGTAGTCCTCTGGTCCATGGAAGTCTTCCACCTGCTGCCTAGTGACATTGATGAACACCTCCCGGACCTTCAAGCCTGATGAGGGAGAGAGAGAAAATAATCTGATGCCTCTGGATTTCTGAAAACATCAAGCTCAGGTTAGCCAACCCTTTTCTTTTTAATTATACAATTCTGTTTTTAATCAAGGCAGAGTTTTAATTACCTTGATAATAATATACTACTGCTAATTAAATTCCACCAGCCAAGAAGGCTTGAAAGCCACATGCCAAGTATTACCAACCAACTCAGCTCCAATGCAATATAGTAATTTTCTAGCACCTTGTCTTGGTGCTTTGTCTTTGTCTTCCTTTGTGTAAAACAGAGTATGAGTTGTATAGTGATAAGTTAATTGCTGAGATTCTAGAAGCAAAAGAGGACTCAATACATCAACCTCAGAGGCAGATTCAGGTTGGTTTAAATGCCCTGACATAGGGTTTAGAAGCACAAGAGGGCCACTCTCACTCTGTGTTTTAGAAAAAATAAGATCAGGAATGTGTAGAGTTAGGGTGAATAGACTGGGATTCCAAGAAAAGACCAAAACCTCAGCACCAATAGTTCAATATAACAAAGTCAGTGAGATTATAAAACAGAAAGGTTGAAGAAGAGAGGCAGAAGAGTGGAATAAACTTGGGAAAATACCTGCAGCAATGGTATAAGCATAGGAAAAAAAATTTATGAGGGAAAAAATGAAGCATATATCTATGAACTTGGATGGAACTTGGATGGAATTATTGTAATCATGATCTTTTAATTCTTTGTGCGACTTTTTACTCTCTTCCCAAGAATATTTGCTTGGAACTGCTAACTGTAGAATGAAAACACCTTCCTACCTCTGATCAAAAAACATCATGTCTTTGGGGAAAGTGGTCACCTTTCATGGAGTCAATGGAACAAAGAGGACACTCCTCATTAGGCAAAACAAAACAGAGCATCACAAACAGGACAAAGACCTTGATAGCTAATATGTTCTCCAAGGCCAGCAGACACTGCAACAGTGCCCTATAAGATGGCCATGTGGAAGCCAAAGGATTCTCTCACTTATCGCATCTACTTCAGTGCTCAGCACTGTGATAAGCCTGAACATCTTCAGTATTACCTTCACACAATGCACAGAGACAATGGGTGCTACTGTAATTCTAGGCTGCAGATAAAAGATGTAACTTAAGATAGTTGGGTTCATCCATCCACACAGAATTGCAAGTGGAGCATGTGGAGTTTGGCCCTGCGTCTGCCTTACAGCAAAATTATTGTTATTTACCAATTTTCCTCTAAAATTCAATTTTATCCCTGTGCCTTATTTATTCTTAATTGTGGAGATAAGATTGACACATTGAATAGATAAAGAAATACTAAATTCCTAAGAATGCTTTTTTTTCCTTACAAATCAAGAGGAATTCAGGAAGCATAGCATCAGCTCACACAAAATGAGCCAGTGATTCTGGGATTTGGGCTCAGGCATAGGAGGATTTAAAGAATAGAATGAAGGTGGAGGATTGGTCAGGCAGGGGAAATTATCCCTTGCACTAACCAATAGTCTGTTATGAATAGTGTATGGTGAGAGATAGCATTGTAAAAAAAGAAAAGAAAAAGAAAAAGAGAAGAGATTAGAGGAGAAGAGCAAGGAAAAGGAAAAAGCACAAGGAAAAATGGAGTGTATCAAGAAAGGGAAAACAAGACCAGAGGAAGATGGCGGAGGAGAAACTGGAGGCTAAACAAGCTCTTGCACAGAAAGTAGTTTTTGTGTTCCAGTGAACAGTCCTAGGCTAGAAAATTACATCCTTACTGTCATCACAGTACAGAGAGTTTGGCCAGAGAGGGAAAATCTAGGCAGCATGGTCAAGGAAATAGATCTGAACACTTGCTGGTAGCAGCGGCTGCAGTGGCAGCGGCAGCCATACCAACAGAGAAAGTCGGGGACAAAGGTGTCAGATGAGCATGTGAATGGATTCTACTCACCACCAGCAAGAACTGACACGAAGCAGAAATCTTCATCCTGCTTATTGCAGAAAGGGGACAGAGCCAAGAGTATGGCATGAGTAGAACCCTGACATCCTCACTCCTTCTCACAGGCAGCTCCTCCCCCACCACTGGAGAAGAACTCCATCTTTGATACTGACAAAGGCTGGGCTGAGCAGCTAGCTCCAACCCAGGCCTTGGAAGGAAAAAATTGGAGCCATTAGCAGGTCACAGTAAACTTGTTCAACCACTTTGGAAAGCAGTATGGAGGTTCTCCAAAAGACTCCACATAGAGCTCCTCTATGACCCAGCAATCCCCCTTTTGGGCATTTATTCCAATGATCACAAACAAGACCATACTAAAGCTGCCAGCACAACTACCTTCATTGCAGCATTATTTACTATAGCTAAGATATGGAACCAACCCAGATGCCCCTCAGTAGATGAATGGATCACAAAAATGTGGTATAAATATACAATGGAATTCTATGCCTCCATCAGAAAGAATGAAATTGCCCCATTTGTTAGGAAATGGAAAGACTTGGAAAAATTATATTATGTACAGTAAGCCAGGAGCAAAGAAACATAGGACCCATGCTTTCTCTTATTTGCAATAACTAGTATATATCTGAGACAAGCAGAAAAGTTCAGATAAGATGATGTTAAGCAAAATGAACCCCAAGATAAGGACACAAGTTATTTTTCTTTCTTACTATCATTTCTAATGTATTTATAAGGTACCATGTGATTTTTTTTTTGTTGCTTTGTATGTCCCTCCCCGACGGTATAACCCCCATTTTCACTCTATTTGATGTTGGTATAATTTGGGGAGTGGAAGGGAAAAAACAAATTGTTTAAATAGGGATACAGCTTGACCCATTACAATAATGAGATGCACAAGACACTATGTCAAAAAATGAACTGTACAATTTATGCGGGGGTTGGGGGTTGAGGGGGTTGTGGGGGAGGAATGTAGTTGTGGAGATGGGAGGGAAGGGAGGATGGTAGGGGAAAACAAAGGAGGCAACAATGCTTAATAGAAATTTACTCATTACTTTGCTCATGTGATTATAACCCCTCTGAACTGTATTTTCATAATAAAAAACTTATTTAAAAAAAAGAAAGGGAAAAACATCAATTTGAAAACTTTGAAGATAGAAAGCAGATTGGATGAACCATTTTCCTTTTTCCCTTTATCCTTCCCTTTCTCCCTTCCTCCCTCTCTTTCCGCTTTTTTTTTGCATTTATTAATTGCTGTTGGTATTGAAGACTGAATTTTAAGCCTACATATAATCCACTTTCTTATTTTCTCCAGCCTGTAAGTCCATCTAAGCTGGCAATTTCCTCTAGGTCACAAATGTAGCCATTTAAAAATGGCTCAGACTTGTCATATCCAAACTAGAAATGAAGAGGCACCCACTTTTAAATCTCCAAACTGTTATGCCTGAATCATAGCACTATGGTGTTTTATGAACATCCAAGTTTGTGAATTTGATTGATTAATTAATTTGTGCCCACACTGAGGCTTGAACTTAGGGCCTATGTGCTGTCCCTGAGATGTTTTTGCTTAAAGCTAGTGCTCTTCCACCAGAGCCACAGCTCCACTTCTAGCTTTTTGGTCATTAATTGGAGATATGAGTCTCACAGACTTTCTTGCTCAGGCTGATTCAGAACCATGATCCCCGGATCTTAGCCCCTTGTGTACCTAGGGTCACAGGCATGAGCCACAAATACCAGGCCAAGATTTATTTTAATCATGTGGTAACATGCAGACATGGAGACACAGGGAGCTAGAACTCACTGTCATGATGGAAGATGCTCACACCTACTGATACTTTGAAATGGGTATAGTATGCATCAGTGTTGAGGGAGGAAGTACAGGATGGCTTGGAGGCAAAGAGGCAGGAAGAGTGTACTCTCCATGCTAGTTCCCATGAAGGACAGATTAGACAGGTTTAGGATTGGCTGGTTTTGATCCTGCCTGTGGGATCTGGGACACAGTGTCCAACCCTAGTTATCTTCCTGGCACTGAGGTCAAGGCAGGAGACTAGTGGCCTGGAGTAGAGAAGCTACATGAAGAAAGTACGTAGGCTGTGCATTGGTTGGTTTGTATACGGAAGTTAAGAAAGGTCTTAGGTAAGTTCTTTGCTAACTATGGGAATTAACATCTCTGATCATGGCAGTCTCATAAGATGAACAGGAAACTAGAAGATCACACCAGGAGAGCTGCAAACTTGTTTTGGAAAGCATAACCCAAAACTAAAACCAATCACAACCCAGTCTTGTCATTGTTTGCCATATCTTATTCAGAGGAACTATGGTAGGAATGAAAATTCTGACCTCCCAATTTCAGCATTAGGACAGCTAAGTTACTAATACATTGTAAAAAGTTCTTCATGGGGGTCTGCTGAGAAAAACTGATGTAAACCAAAACTTCCAGTATATATTTTATATCAGGAGTATCAAAGACGGTGAGTCATTAGTGGCATTAGTGTGCAATTTAAAATATCTTGCCTCTCTTGATTAAGCCATCTTCTAGCATGAGTTCTTTGGTTTCTGACAAACTGACTCTTTCAAGAGAAACTTAAATACTTGTATCTACTGTACATTTACCTATAAAACCAAATTAGCTGTAGTTTAATGAGGAACCATTTTAAAAACTAGTATGCTATTTCTCAAATCTTCACTAGTCTTGTTATATGCACATATTTACCTATGTGCATGCATATACCTATGCCTATATATGTATATACATTCATACATGAGAAACATCCATGAAAAATGGCTCTACTTAAGGATACTACTTAGAGTTTCCTACCATCTTTTCCTCCATGAAAGTACATTCACCAGAATTGCACACAGAGACAGCTTTTTTTTTCTAGAGGTGGCAAAAAACTTGTTCATAAAAGTAAATGCTATAGTGGTGCAAAAATGCCATGCAAATAAAAGGTGACATCTCATAAATAAGAGTAGCACTGTACAGGGTAACTTGCATAACTCTAATCAGCATGGAAAAGTCCAACCCTTTAAATTATAGTGCAAATTATACCCATCAGCCTTTGTTATGAAGTAGAGTCTTA